ATTGCCTTTGAAGCTTCCATGGCTGAGTGGTTAGGGTGTGAGACGCTTAATCTTTAGGTCACAGGTTTGAATCTCAAATGTAGCCGAATTTTTGCTAATTCGAGTCCTATTTATATTTCTGCTTTTTGTCGTGCTCTCGCTAGTGTTTGCGAAGCGAAGCTTCGCCTCTGTGTATATATTCAAATGCGGTCTTCACTATCTCGCCATGTTTAAGCTTTTTAAACGTAAAAATTTTTGCTTGTTAAACGAAAAAAAAAATCACGTTCAAGCTATATCATATATTGCATTGCTTGAGAATTTCTTAGATTTTCTAGTGTTAATTTAGTGATTATTTAACCAACTTTGAAATAAGCCACTCCATAGTGAGAGTTTCCCCAGAGGTTGCGAATTTGGCCTCCAATTATGATTACCCAAATTCTTATACTTAACGAGTTACGACGATTTATGTTTTTTTTTTCAAAAATTATATAAAAATTCAAACTTGAACGATTTGAAATTTCCAAACCTGTAGTTGGGTGATGTCAGGGTACACTCATTGGTTGCAAGTTTTGCCTCCAAATATGACTGACTGCTCAATTTGTGGTAGTTTTCGAGATATGACGTTTTCTACGATTTTGAAAAAAAAATCAGACCCCCTTATAGCTGGATGCTACCCGGGTATTCTCAGGCAAATCTTTTCTCCCGATTGTGACTGTTCAAGTTATTTTGGTATTCAAGACTTAACGCTTTTTCTTTTTTTTTTGAAAAGTGTTCTCAGAAAACCTGATTTATGAGCGTTGCGAAATTTTTATTTCCAACCTTTTAATGGGGTAATTTCAGGGTACTCGCAACTTTTTCTTTCAAGTTTGACTGACTAAATCATGTTAGTTTCCGAGATATGCCCTTTTTTATGATTTTTCAAAACGTTCAAAAAAACCTAATTAAAAACTTACCAAAGTTTGAAATTCAATACTAAGTGGTTTTCGTCAAGGTACTCTCGGGAAGCTTATATCTGGACTCCAATTATGACTGTCCAACGCGATTCACTTTCCTAGATGTAACGTTTTTATGGTTTTGGAAAAATTAAGTTAATTTTCACTTAGAATATCAAAATTGTCGACGCATTGATGGGGTGAAGTCAGATGTTTTCAAATTATTTTTGCTGGATTTATCTATTGATGGCAGCAAATGAGTACATGCTAATGAAAAGAAAGAACTAAGTTAAACAAGTCATGATTCAAGTTAAACAAGTCATGAACAATTCTATTTCATGATTCAAGTGATTTTGCCTGTGAAATAATTGAAAGGCAGTTGTATGCTGTCTACCATTTTAGGGCTTTCTCATCTCAAATTACGAAGTATTAAAATCATGCTTTAAAAGATCTGTTACGCGCCACTAAGCACTGAATTTTTACGTATTTGATGATGGTGCTAAGAATGAGCAAGCGTTATCAATTGGAATATAGATCTATTCTTGTAAACAACATCTCCAATAAAATCACTAAATTATTTTCTCACATCTGCAATTCTTTCAACCAACAGACGTAATTCAAGCATGTTTGCGTTTCAAATAACTGTTCTTTTCACTTTAGCGTCAGCTTAGTGTGTTATTACGAACCTTCTTTTTTTCTTAGCTAACTCGCAAATAAAAGTGCTCATTAAAAGTGTTCACTTGCTTGGAAATTTCTTTGTAGCATTAGAAATTGCATTAGATCTGTTGTCTGCTTTATTTATGGCTAGTTTTAGTCTACTATCAAGCTTCAGTGGTTGAGCTTCTAATCTCGAGGTCGCAGGTTCGAATATCATACATAGCCGAATTTTTGCTTATTCGAGGCTTATTTATACTTTTTCTCATTGTACTTCATGTGGCTGCTTTTTTTCGTGTTCTCGCTAGTGTTTGAGAAGCGAAGCTTCGCCTCTGTTGTCATTTTTTTATGCTGGTGTTAAATTTAACAACTCCAGTTCGGTATTGTTTCGTTTTTTTACGTGGCTTTTTTGGTTTATGATGATTGGGGTAATTTTTTTTTCTTTTGAAAACACTTTTTTTTGGCTCAACGGGTGTCTGCTCAGATATTGTCGGCTTCATTAATGCTCAGTCTCCATGCAAATGTAACTTTCAATTTTTTTGTCATGTTTTTCTTTCTAAAATTATGAATTCTATTCAAGACAAATAGGAAATATTTGGTAGATCTAGATTTTCGTTATTTTCATTTTTTTATATCAATTTTACAGGTTTCGCTTCAGCTAATGTCTGCTCTTTATTTTGCATTGCAAGTTATCCGGAGATCTGCTTCGGCCTGGCAAAAATCTTTTTTTTCGTCCCAGAGCGCTGATTTTTTTGTTTTGAGCGTTTTCTTTTATGCTTGAAATTGATTTTTTCCTTTTGTGGCGAAAGTTATTCGGTACCAAGAATTTTTTGATGTTAATAAAAAATAAAAGTTCGCTGTGCGGTCTTTTTGAAGTTTTTGTTCTAACTCAAATTTTTGTTCATATTTCGCTCATTTTTTTATATCAGCAATTTTTTTTTGAAATTTGATTTTCGTTTAATTGGCGTCTAGTCACGTGTTGTTGCTTAGTGGACGCTCAGAAAATACTATAAGTTTGCTTAAAGCTATTGATTGTGTTTTCGGTCGGTTTTTCTCAGATGGAATTTTTCGGACTTCCAAAAATATGTTGAATTTTCTTATGACAACAATTTTTTTGGTTTTTTGTTTTTGGGTTGATTGACGTCTAACCACGTGTTGTTGGGTTAGTGGACACTCGGAACATACCTAAAGCTTGCCTAATTGTGGTGATTGTGTTTCTGTCTGTTTTTATGCGATTGAATTTTTCGCGTATCCATTTTTTTGCGTAATTTTTGTTTGTTGCTTTTTTAAGGTTTGCAATTTTTGAACATTCATTTTCAAAATGAATTTATTTCAAAACGTATGAAAATTTATGTAGAATTTGTTTGTTTAACGAGCTTTGACAATTTTGTTTTTATTTTAGTGGCTTGCTGGTCATGCACTGGTGGCTTGCTGAAGTTTTTGTTCCGACCATTGAAAATGGAGAGGAAATTGGTATTCTGGTGCATTTTAGTTTTTCTTCGCAAAATTAGGTACCACAAGTATTCATCGGAATGGTGCGAGTGATTTTTAGTGAATTTTGTAACGCCAAAAATATTGAAAAAATTTAGAGGTGTTTTCCATTATGCTTACTTACAGTTGCAAGAGCTGTCTTGTAATCGGGAACTAGATTTTTCCTGTAAACAATTTACTAGAAATTGAACTTGTTATTTTATTGAAATCAAGGTTCCTTTCCACTTCGCCTGGAGGTCTGGGGTTCAAGTCCCGGCAGGATTTTTTTTTCCAGTATTTACGAAATAGAAAGTTTTTTTTTATAAAAATCAATTGTCGGACTTTCGTTTGTCGGATTAGGTGCCCTATCACGGATTTTTCTTGAGCTGTATTGGTAAGTATCATGGTAGTTGCAAGTTTTAATCTGCAATATTTTGGTAAAATCTTTTTTCGTCTCAACTGGTGTCTGCTCAAAGATGGTCTGCTTTGCTTACGCTTGGTAAGTTTTGTGCCTGCATAACTTCCTTGTCTTTTTACCCCAAGGTCCACAGCCTTCAAAAAAATCTGTGGGGGATTATTTGATCTTTTTTTGGAATTTCGGTCGCTCAAAATCAGTCGTTCCAAATTGAGATTTTGGGTTTAATAGATAGGAGGGTTGTGGGAAGCTCCACTGTATTAGCGGCTACTCCCAAATCTTGTGACAAAAAGTTACGGCCCTCGGAAAGATCAAGTTTTTGATGTTTTGACCGTTTTTTGAAACTTTTCTCCAAAACTATCTACAAAATTTGAGGTATTGGATTCAATCCAAAGAATAGGATGTGGGAAGCTTCCCTGTATAAATCGCTACGCTCAATTTTTTTACACTAAAAGCTGGTTCTCGGAAAAGTCCAAACTTTGTTTGTTAACCGTTCTCGATAATCATGCTACAAAATCTGATATCAATGGTTTAATCGAAACAACAGATTGTTGAAAGTCACGTGTATACGCTGCTACAACCAATTTTTTCTCGAAAAAGTTATGGCCTTCAAATAAGTCATCATTTGGAAACTTTGACAGTTTTTGGGAAACTTTTGGATTTTCTCAAAAACTATCCTGCCAATTCTGAGGCTTAATCCAGAAAGACAGTTTTGGAATCTTCTCTGATTGAGCGGCCACGACCTACTTTATGCAGAAAAAGAGAAAAAGAGATATACATTTCGGAAAGTCAAATTTTTGACCGTTTTTTGAACTTTTTTCATTTTTCTTAAAAACTACCGTCGCAATCTGCGATAAAGGGTTCAAGCGGCGTTTCCTTTAGACAAAATTTGTGTCTTTGGTATAATTCCACTTTCTCGAAAACTTATTTCATTAGATAAACGGAGGGTTTGGGCAAAGAACAATTTTTATAGTTTTGAAATGACCGATTCCATCCTGCATCAGTATAGCAAATTCAAAAAATATCAAACAGGTAACTTAAGCTGGGCCCCTAGTTTTCTTTTATGGAGACATTTGGTTCCCTTATTTATTGAAGATTTTTCATTTCGACTGTTTTTTGTTTGTTGTGGCACGAAGATGCGCTTCGACTCTGTTTTCTGTTAATAACTGACCTTAATTCTTTTGGTATGTGTTCTTTTGAAATTCACTTTTGCGACGAGGACAAATCTGTTCACATTATACGCGATGATTACGTAGGTTAACATAAACTATGAGAAGTGTTTTATTGTACTGCTATTTTCCCGGTTTCTCAAATTTCTTGTGTTCTGCATACCATGAATCGTGTGATGCTTGTGTATAGCTTGTGAACTAAGAGCATCTGGTTTCTTCCAGAAACCAATTGCATTTTTTACTGAACATTTTCACGGTAGAGTGATAGAATGAAGGTGTCAAAAAAGAAAGTCCATGTATTTTTAATGAACGATTGCAATTTATAGTAATCTGGCTGGCTGCGATCAATTAATTTTATTTTATTTTCAGGAACATTCTTACCGCCGCCATTTTTATAGCAGATGTAGGGGAAGCGCCATACGTTGCCCAGGTCCACTGCAAACCCGATTACACTTAACAAGAAGTCAACTTTCTTGGCCCACAACTCGCGTTCAATTTCCTCCTCATGTTCCACTCCATCCTGATCATGGTCTACGAGACAGTGCACAGGGTGACAAAATATAATTACGATTCGTTTTTTGATGACCAAAAAAAAATAATAAATGAAACAAAATTAACTTGAACCATCCAGCAAATTAAACATGTTTTTAAACAAATAATGCCATTTCACTTATTTTGCATAAATATTCAAACACGAGAGAAAAAGAAGAGCAAGATACGCTGTTGCGCTTTTTTTTGTTAAAATCAGTTATTAATTGAAAGCAAATAGCAAAAAAAAAATTCGGCCAAATTTTCTCGACGCTGCGGGAGTTTTTTGAAATCTATATTTTTTTCAGTTTCTGTGCGAGATTTTGTTAAGCTTGTAAAAAAGCGCTGAAAAACCCACTCTACGCCTTGTTTCATTCCCACTATGTTGAGAGTGGTCTGAACAAAAAGGGATTTATGTTAAAACGGCCAAAAAAACATTGTTCAACAAAAGTACTGAGTCGAGCTGAATTTTTCATTTACTGAATTGAAAGTACTTTAATTCAATTGTACTAATAATTACACTTGCTATAAGCAAGCGTATTGTAACCGTGTACTGGCTTGGCTTTTTCCCCAAAAATAACTTGTTCTCATTGAAATTGGTGGTCGGATCATTGAAATTGGTGGTCATCCCCAAATCTGTGCTTTCGTCAATCAACAGGCATGTTTTTGAGCATGTGTGGGTGTATATACGCAAACGGAGCGTATTTTAATATTACGAAGCCCTTTTGGTGGCACTTTTGGTTGTTTTATTTCTAACCGTTGGCATTCTACGTAATGCTACAACTCGCATCAAAAGACAACTCGCAATATACTCGCCGCCGCAGTCGCGTCATTGTGTTGCGAGCATGCTAACAGTTGTTAGGACTTTATACGAAGTTAAAAGCCGGCGTAGCGCGCCCACCGGCGACCTTTTCCCGAGAAACTAAAGTTTCCAATTAGCTTGAAAAACTTGCGAGTTGCGCCAGAAAGAAAAACGTGTTTAAAAAGGCTTTTCGGAGTAGCGTTTATTGTAAATCTTCTATATTTTTGCCGACAGGTTTCCATAAATTATGTATCTTTTAAGCGTTAATGAATGAAATGAATTATCACTTATTCAGTTTGTATGGGTTATCCGTTTTTTTAATTCAGTTTTTGTTCATGGTCGAATTTCATTTTTTGATGTTTGAGTTCTGATTCAAGTTCAAATCTTATTCAATTGCTAAATTGAGTTTTCAAATCCACTCTCCGAGAAATACGCTATCCAATAACAATATGCAAATGACGCAAAAAAAAAGTTGAACGATTTTTTTGAAATGAGATTTAATTTTAAAGATTTCCCAGCCCAATTAAAAACCACATATAGACTCGAAATCAGCTAGTTTTATGAAAAAAAAAGTATCATTCAAAAATGCTTAAAATTAAAATAGCTGCAGCATGTCACGGTATCCTTTTGTTCTTCGAAATTGCTAAGTTGAAAATTGTTTAATAATTTGGCTGCTTGTTCACTATGTTCGTTTTATTTCTAAATCTTTGTAATACTACATTAGTTTATTGTACGCCACCAGCTCTCCAGCTCTTCTATCATTTTTTGGAAAATCAAATTGCATCAAGTCTTAATGTCCTGTTAGTAAACATAAATAGTTTAAGCAAAGCTGAGCAAATGTTTTGTAAAAAAAACTATCCAGGGGTTTGCTAGAATTCAAAAAGTAACAATTAAAAATGGTCGTCTAAGCTGACGGTAGACAGCATTGGTGACGGGAAAATTTTTATCGGTGAAGGGAACTATGCTTAAGATATTTCTCAAAAGTTTGCTAAATAGTTATTTGGTGACCCTGTGCGACACAGAGTCCGTTTTTGGGTTGATGGGAGGCTTGGGATCTTCCCTCCTCCATGATAGACTGCAGATTGGCCGCCCCTCCCGCGTTCTTCAAAATGGGTGTGGTGGATGTGATGCTCTGGTTGAGACTGTTCTCAGGACTGAATTGGCCAGATGTGAAGGTTCCACTCTCGTCTAAATTGTCGCTGGAGGTATCGCCATTATTAATGGAATTGTACGTCGTCTGAGACATAAGGGTCAATCAAATTGGTAAAAAAAAATGTTGCGATTTCAGATAAATATCAAATAATTAGTTAGTTTTGATCATTTATATAGAGCTCAGTATCCTTGCGCAGTCAATATTAACTTTTTTAAAAGTTAGTTATACGGTTAATTAAGGGGGCTCTTTGCAATATTTTTTTCTTTCTTTTTGAGTTTAAGATAATCATAACGGTTTTTGCATCAACCTTTACTCACGATTGTGTATGTACTGTTATTGCCTAGAGAAGCAACAGATAATTGTGTTGTATTGTTATGGTATGTGGTGGTATGTTACGGGCTAAGTTGGAAAGTATGAGCTCGTTTGGTTATAAGTAAATCTCCAAATTAAATCTGATTTATGTCTTAGCCGACAGGTGTCTGCAGTGTTTACCGCAGATGCGGATTTATCAATGGCAAGAGCAAAACCAATTCCGCCGCATACTTGGTAGCAGCCTTGCAACTTGACCAACCTCGAATATTAAGCTCGTTTCCATAATAACATTTTGGGACCGTGACGCCAAAATTTCAGCCAAAGACTGCCGTTATAGTTTTATTTTGTATTAACAATCGTGATTTTACCAAGACCGTCGTTTACCTCAATTGTGCCGTGCTTACTTTATCGCAGAAATTCATTTTTCTTAAATTACGGATAATTTGTTTTGATTTAAAAATGTTATTATAATAAAGGCTCAGAAAGGGATAAAAAAAAGCTGGTTCATATTTGAAAAACTAATCTCCAATAGAACAGCTCTTCATTATGTGAATTTGATTAGTAATTTTGATCTTTTGTTCATGCAGTTGAATCGAGATTATTTGGAAGCGAAGAATTACCGGGAAGTTTCTATGGAATATTTAAAGCAGCTCCAATATTTTCAATAAAAAGGCTCTCAGATGAAACTGTATTCGCATTATCGACACAAGGTCATTCCCCAACTATTTTTTGCAAGATAACCTGACCCAGTTGAATGAGACAATATTTTATCAATAATTATGCAAAAATGTCTGAAATTTTTGAAGTGCGTGAGACTGATCTGGTTTTTGCCAATATCTGCTATTCTCATACCTTCCCCCATCACTCATAGCGAAAACAAATCAATCAATTCATAAATCAACCAGGATTGTTCTAGAAATTCTGCGTTCAATCAAAACCTATGCTTACATAAAATATTCCGCCAAATAAAGCTTTAATCTGGTCTTAAGAAGATATTTTGCAGTGCAGTAAATTTTTTAAAGTGAAAATTTTAGCGTTATAAAAAATTTAAACAGTCTAGTTTTTTCAGATCCAGAAATGGTCAAGGGCTTCAAGACAGCGGTGAAGTTCGATGAGGCGTCAAGACTGGAGTTTGTGCAGGGCATGCGCAAGCGGAAGAACCAGAGACGCCAGAAGGCTGCCAACCAGATCAAACTGAAGATGAAGCAGGACAGGAGGGCGTACGACAGGAAGAAGAAACAACTGCAGCTGAAGGAGATAGCTGAGCTGGACAAAATAGAGGCAGAGGCTGAGCACATCAATTTGAAGCGATTGGCCACGTGTTCGGCCGAAAATGAACAGACTCATTTTAGTTCTATACCAGGTAAGGAACGCTGTTGATTTTTTGTGATTATTTTAAGGTTCTTTGTTATCAGAATGAAGAATTTGCTCCAGTGCGATAACATACAGCGCGATAGTCCGAAGATGGAGAGTCAATTTCATGATCAGTTCGTTAACAGAACGGTTTCGAATCCCGGTCGGACCCCTTTTTTTCGATAGCTGTGAAAATTGAATTTTGGAAACTTGAATTGACGAATCATCGTTTTTATGTTTAGTCGGCTTACTTTAACAAAGCATGGAGTTTTCTTCCGATTTAAGAAATTTTTCATGCAATTGAACGTCTTTCTGTGAGCTACGCTTCGCTTCTATTTTTACTATTATAATCCCAAAAAGTATATTTAATTGATAACTTTATTGCTATGATATCTGTAGTCTATAAAATACAATTAATATTGTTTCTTTTGGTGATTGTCCTACAAATTATAGTGTTTTAGGAGTCACAATTGAGCCAATCAGTTTCGACACTAGTCATCTGCATGTCACTGCAAACTTGGACGCAGAAGAAGAGTCGGAATCAGAAACTAAAATGAAGGAGGGCGAATATGATTCAACTAAGGACAAGTTGGATGATCTTCGGCACAGTTACAAGAAACTGGTGAAAGATCGCATTAAGAAGCAGAAAAATAAACTTAAAAAGAGGAAAAAGTAAAGTAAATGTTTCTGTTGCCGATGTTGCTTCAAACAATGATCTGGCTGTAGTTAGTTACGGAAGGAAGATGCACACGATGGGCTTCCGATTGTTTGAACGAAGACCGCAAAAACTCTAAATGAACCGAACAATTGATCACCGTTTTTTAGTTCTCATATGTAATTTTGAACCGCAGTAGAAATTTATTGTTCGCTGCAATAATCTCAAGTCCAAGGCTCAAGAAAAAAAAACAGTTGAAAGAAAGACTATTTCATTAGAGTACTTTGTCGAAATAGAGTTTTTCGCAAAACTTATACGTCCAAGTCTCAAGAAAAAAACAGTTGAAAGAAAGACTATTAAATTAGAGTACTTTGTCGAAATAGAGTTTTTCGCAAAAATTATACGTCCAAGTCTGAAGAAAAAAACAGTTGAAAGAAAGACTATTAAATTAGAGTACTTTGTCGAAATAGAGTTTTTCGCAAAACTTATACGTCCAAGTCTCAAGAAAAAAACAGTTGAAAGAAAGACTATTAAATTAGAGTACTTTGTCGAAATAGAGTTTTTCGCAAAACTTATACGTCCAAGTCTCAAGAAAAAAAAACAGTTGAAAGAAAGACTATTAAATTAGAGTACTTTGTCGAAATAGAGTTTTTCGCAAAAATTATACGTCCAAGTCTGAAGAAAAAAACAGTTGAAAGAAAGACTATTAAATTAGAGTACTTTGTCGAAATAGAGTTTTTCGCAAAACTTATACGGGTAAACAAAAGAAGCATATGAAAAACAATGAGGGAATCTCAGTATGGGATTGAATAATTTTTTCCAAGTGTGCCTTGGAGTTATTTTTGGGAAATTTTTGCAAATTAACTTTAATCTAACTTGAAAGGGCTTTCATTATTGAACTCTGCTGCCTTAAGGGTTTTTTGGTGCGACAAAATGGTATGATGTATCCGAAAATCAGCCTCTAATCGAATTCTAGACAGTAGCAAGGAAAGGAATAGAAAATTTTTATTTTTCAGTGCCAATGATCGAATATGAGATTGGTGCTTGTTGTTGTTAGTTTCTCAAACGTGGGCAAAAATTATCTCGGTCGGTAATCAACCAGGCGGCTCGTAGGAAATTGAAGCTCCTAATGTTACTGCTGCTCTTTGAGCCAAAAATTGATTAAAAAAATCTTCCGGCTCTATTTTTACCCACCTCGAAAATTTTGAATTTATAACCTTTCACGTTGTCAAACTGTCAATACCCATTTGACTTCGTAAGTTCTCTCAATACACCGTAAAGTTGAAGTTAGTATTTAATGGTAATGGGATACCATCTAAAGGAGCCAACTGCCCCCACTCGTTTTTTAAGGAAAAATCATTACACAAGTAAACGCTTGTGAAGATGGCTGACCGTTTTCGCCTTACTACTTACACTAGCAAGCGTAGTTTATTGTACTACTTTTTTCCATCCTAACTCGCGAATAGAAGTGCTCATTTGGTGGCAATTTTGCTATCATCTTGATCTATAGCATTGGAAATATCATAGCATCTGTTCTCTGCTTTTTTGTGGCTTGTGTTTGCCGCTCGTTTCCTACTTTTTATTGCTGTTTGCCACTCGTTTCCTACTTTTTATTGCTGTTTGCCGCTCGTTTTCGACTTTTTATTATTTCACTTTATAGAGCTTCTTTTTAAACGTTTTCTCCGAGGTTTTTGCGAAGTGTAGCATCGTTCTGTGTGCATATTTATCAAAAGAAACCTGTTAGGATTGCCCGTTTATTTGAAATTTTGGCGTGTGTAACAACTATACAAGCCCAAACACAGTAGTTTTCTTATCAATGGTTCGCGTGGTAAACCTATTTATGTCGGCGGTGAGGCGCTTACGGTAAAGAAGTCGCTTGAACTATAATACGAAATCATTCTTAAAGTCTTTGTCTCTCAGTTTGTTCATTTTTGTGTTCAGTTTCTGTACATCTCTGTTCAGTGATTGCAATGTGCAGCTTTGCCTCTGTCGCTCTGTGTAAATTTTAAATTTTGTGTCTTTTATTTGAATCAATTAGCCATTTCGCGTAAATTAGCTTTCTCACGTTTGCCTAATTTTTTTAATAAACCCCTTATACCCTTACAATCAATGGCCACGGGTGAAAAATTTTGAAATAGCTCAAAGTTCTTGTAGTTAGAAAGACCTAAGGTCAAGAACAAAATGATACCGAAAATATGTTTTCGAGCATTATTAGAAAGTTAAGCAGAAAGTCTGCGATAGATGCTTGCTCAAACAGTAAATGCATACAGCTCACTTTTTGATCAATTTTTCAAAGTCATAGTTTTATAATTTAAACAGTGTGCAGATCGATAGTAAATGTATTGACCACCTTTCGCGCAAACATCGGAAATTCGAAATAGTTAGGTTTGCAACAAGAAAACAAAGTATGCAACTTAACTGCTATAACAACAAAATCAAAACGCATCGGCAATAAATAAGCCAATCGTGGAAGAAAGAACAAAAAAACAAGGATAGCCGCTTACTGTGCAAGTAGCACCGAATGTTCCGGCCAGTCTTAATAAAATACATTTTTTTTTTCAAATTTGTCGTTTTTTCGGCGTGGTGTGATACAGGAATCTGAGCGAAAAAAGAGAGCTTAGGCATTTTCGTCAGTCATGGTAAAATATGCAAATTGGAAAGCAATTTTTGAAGACGAATAACAAGAAAAACAAACAAATATTGATTGTTTTTTTAATTTTTGAAGTTTTTGATTCCTAAGATGAAGCTAACTTCATTTGGGTGAAACTAATTTTTCAAAGATTAAATAAAACATTAATAAGCTAATGTAAGCCTGCTCACTTGCTCAAAATTAAAACAGAAATTAAAAATTTTAAACAGGTTTTTCTCGACACTTGGAAATTTTTTAATATCGTTCGAATCACGACTGAAAGTGCTTCAATATGATATATTTCATCAACCCAGTCAGACGATTATTTGTGGTAGCTGTTTTTGTGTTGAAAAAAACTAATACATCCGAATACAAAGTTCCTCCCCATTTTTAATGGTCGGTACAAAAAGGAGGGAAAGAGAAGAAGCTTAGTTTCGAAATAGTATACATTTGAAGAAGGCTGCTTGTATGTCGGGGCAAAACCCTGAGTGGTCCGACTACCCTTTTAGTGGTCTGGAATAGTTTGTGCGAGACGATTCACCCAGCATAAACTAGTCAAATTATAAATTCAGCATCGAAAAACTAAATGAGAACTTTAGATTGATCATAGAGTCAGGTTTAAAAAGGGGTAGCGCGCCCTTGCTGAGTTTATGAAAACCCAGCTTTAGATTCTAACACATACAAACGATGTGTGAAAGTTGGTCTGAATAACTAAGCAAATAAATATATGCCTAACATTCTTCAAAAATTGAAGCAAGAAGTATCATATCATCACACTAATCACATTGACACTAAATATGAACTGAGCTGCCACAGGGAAAGCGTAGAGAACGTCTATCTAGCGTTTGTTCTTGTCAAACAATCAAATTAAAATAAAAGAACGTTTTTTACGATTTGTTTTTGCGGGAAAGGCATGATATATTTCAACTTAAATTTGAACCGTTTTGAGGCAGTTATCATACTGTTTTATTGTGCCATCTGCAAAATGTCAATATCTTTGTTGACCTCAAAACAGATAAATGTGGTCTTTTCATTAAGTTTTGGGGGTTTTAAAATTGCCATTTTAGTGTTTATTGCGCGTAAATTGCCGCTTTTAAAAAAAATTATTGCATGAACGACAAAATTATACTGCCTCAAAATTTGGCATGAGCATGCAAGCTATTTGTTCCTAATGATGTGTTATTACATAGTGTCAGGCGGATAAAAAAATCTACAACAAAACTCAATATTTTCCTTTTACTCAAGTTTTTTTTTCTAACTTGCCATTAGAAAACACCTTCAAGCTGGAAGGTAGATAGCTCTATTTATGTTAAACACTTGAATCACTGCATCATTTCATCAATTAAATAACCTTTATCTTGAACGCTTAACTTTTAAATATTTCCATTACCGGTTAAATTTATTTCGGTAATTTTTTTTCGTTAACTTTTTCGTTAACGGTCTTAGTTTTTTATTGCTTCTAAATTAACCATGACCGATTACACATAAGTGTTTCGACCAGTTTCTCAATGTGTTTTCCGAAAAAATTACGTTCAAAAAAATAACTCGTATAATTTCACACGTTTTTCAATTTGCTTTTCTGGTTACGTTAATTTCAAACTCATACTCATTTAGCATCGCGCGCGTGGGGTTGAGGTAACATTTATGCTTGATACAAAAGCTTAAAATTCAAAACTGGTCGAAACTTGTGGTTTTTTCTGAACAAGAATTTTTCGACCTAAAGGCCATTTTGAAAGTCGCAATAATAGTAGTAACTGAGCCAGAAAATTTTCATGCAAAACTTACTGGTCGGTTAATGTGCTCGAAAATATTATCCATGCTATGGTTACGCGACCTATTGTCAAGTGTTAGTGTTTGAGAACATAGACTTTTTTCTTGAAAACAAAATTTGATAGAACTACTGAATCATTATTTAAGTTTTATTTTTCGCCAACCGATAGAGATAATTGAAAGATATCTAATTTTTTTATATTTTGGTGCCTTTAGAAAACATTAGGATCGATCAGCCAAAAATGGATATCTTAAAATATTACAAAGAGGGGACCCTTTGGTTCGGCAGGGGGTCGAATCCCTAAGAAAAAAGGCGTACACCCCCCCCCCCCCTCCTTCGCTCATAAATCCGCCCCTGCCCTTCTATAAGAAGTTTTTTAAATGTTGATTGTAAATTTACCAACTCCACTTTCAATTTTTTCCGGCTCAAGTTCTTTTGACTCTCGTTGCAAGGGCTTAATTTCTTCATATTAGGTTTGGGGGCATTTTATGAGTGTGTGCTGGGACGGATATTTAACTTTCGAAATCTTATAAAGCCCAAATTTTAGCATAAGTTCTTCGGCTCAAAAGGAGTCTGCTTTTTTTAGAGCAAAGTAATTTACCGCTTTGTACTTTCTCTCCTGACTCTTATTCAAAGTTGGAATTTGTTTTTTTTAATGATTTCCTCTTACCCACTACCGCCTAGCTTCTTCGTAGTTTTTGGGTTCGGGATGTATCCGGGGGCTGATTTAGGGGGGGATGGGGTAAGAGCGGACGCCCCCTTTACTGAGATTTGACCCCCGTGCGACCCAATATACTAATTTTGAAGGGGGAGCGTGCACCAACAAAACGCAGTTTTTTGGTAAAAATTTTCTGAAAAGTGCTTCAAAACGTACTTTTGACCATGTTTA